AGGATATTAATACCATAGCGCGTGAGTTGTCCGCGTAGCACGTGAGTTGACCGTGTGGGTCCACGTATTGATAACACAGCGCGTGAGTTGTCCGCGTAGCACGTGAGTTGACCGTGCGGATCCAGGTATTGATATGATGGCACGTGAGTTGTTCGTGCTTAGCGCTTGGGCTTTGGGAGCCCCTCCGGAGTCTGTACACACCCCCAGTGAGCGCAGAGTGTTGAGTGTTTTGAGTGTTGAGTGTTTTGAGTGTCGAGTGTTGAGTGTGAGTGATGGAGTGACACTGCTGTGAAGTTGTATTTATTTGTGTTGTTGCTGCATTTATCTATTAAACTTCTTTGTGGCATTTACTGAGTTATGAAATTTACCTGTTTATTTCTGTTTATTTTTAAATTGTGAAAATAAATAATTGGACTGTTTTACTTAGCTCGTCACTACTGCTCAGTTCCTTAGTTATTTCTGTTACTACTGAGTCGGTTGTACTCATACTACACCCTGCACTTTATGTGCAGATCCAGGTGAGTTAGAGCGCGACGATCGTTGAGTTCAGGCCGGCTATCTGTGGAGATTGCAAGGTAGCTGCTAGCGTCCGCAGGACCTTGTTACTCCTTTTGTCATTTCTTCTTTTGGACAGTTAGACAGTTTATATATCTTAGTTTATAGTTTTAGACGCTCATGACTTAGTGANAGTTTATGAAAAATTTAAATGTTGAAATGTTTTATTAAATTCTTATAATCGGTTTAGTAGTAATATTTTGAAAAGTAGGCTTGCCTTGTAACACGATAAGCGCCATCACGACCATGGTTAGATTTTGGGTCGTGACAGTAGTACGCTCACATCTTTACTCAAGAGTGACAATAGAGAGAAGTAACTTTGAATGCCTTAACTCAATTGTCACGGACGTTAAGAATCAAGAAGAAAAAGATAAGCAAGCATAAATACAATTGTCCTCATAAAATCAACATTTGTATAGACAAAATTCAGTATTCATTGACGCACTCACGCTTCAGCATGTAAAATCATCTTCAAAACCTGACATACCTTGTCGTAGTCAGCTTCGAGCTTGATCAATGGTGCAAATATGTTTTGATACTACATTAGAAGGGTGAAGGCAAACTTAGTTAAAATGTCAATACGAAGGCAACTCACAAATACATAGTAAAGCAATTCCTGCACAGCATTTATTACACATAAAAGGTAGAGGAGATAATACAATAGTATCATCCAGTGAGAACCTGATAGGCATCTTCATACTTCAAGGCAACGGGCTGAGGCTCATCATCTACACCAGGCTTCTCAAGATCTTCCAGGGTAGCATCTGGATTTGTCTTCCACAATTCTTCTACTTTGTTGATTTGTTGAGCACTGATCTGGCGCGCCCTCAACTGTTCTTGCTCAGAGGGGACCTGCAGCACTCCACACGTCACAAATACAGGACAGAAAACAAAAACCAAAAGGATCAAAAAGAGAGAACAAGAAAGAGAATCCAGACCTTAACAAGCCACTGCAAAAAGCACCTGTCATCAATGAGCGGGCACCACTGGCTTAGGTCCCAGTTCATATCCTTCAATGCATTAACACTAAGACAAGGTTCCCTACAGAGGAGAACAACGACACTCTCTGCCTTAGCAGAAATGAAACCAAGAAGAAAGACATTTCGGCATCCACAATTATAGCACTCTAGAATCGTTTCTCCAAGTGGACTATCTTTATGAAGGCACACCTCCTTGTGTTTTGCTCGCACCTATTAGAAAAAATTGAGAATATTCAATAAATGCCAACAATACAAAAATTATACTCAATAAATGCCTTGTTTCCGGAGAGAATATAATAGACATGTTAGTTGTAGGAAAAGGCAAGATGAATATAACACCCCAACGTAAGTCCATTAAATGCAAGTAGCTGATCCCACTGCATACACTGGTGAAACAATCAAATTATAATATGCATTTAAGATTCCTTATTTAATTTCTACAGTTTGGACAACTGACATTCCAAAATGCAGTATCAACTAGAGATAATCTACTCCCTTAGTAACTAAGAAAAGGTGGCGCTTTGGCTTTTCTCCTCGAAAAACATATAGAGAATTTCCCTTTTAACTTATCCCACATGCATAAATTAAGAATTTTGTGGAGGTGAAGTTGCATGAATCTGACAAAAATGTATATTTTATTGGGATAAAAGATCTTTTTATTGAAGAGATCCCAGCACTAAAGGGTGCTAGAAATATACATTACAAAAGGAGAAAAGAACTTGTTGCTTTACTAACTTATAAGGACATGTGGAAATCTAGCATTATACCTAGTAAATGTACATTCACCATACTACAGAAAAAGGCTGACAAAACTATACATTTGTATCAAATAAATTTTCCATTGTTGCTTCAAAAATATGCTTTCCCAAAGAATAAACGGACGCAGCAAATCTATCCCATGGTATAACAGCAAATCTATATCCCATGGCATAACAGCTAGAAGCTGCATGAGTAATAGCATCCCGATTTTTTCTAATGACCAAGAAACACTCGAGGGTCAGTAGCGCATGGTTCAAAAACGGTGGATAATGGGCCCGTCCCTCTATACTCCTCCACTTAAACTCGCGCTTTTGGCTGCGGCAGGTCTCGAACCCATGAAGTGCCTAACCCACGCATCACATGTTGCATTTTATGTTAAAGTGAAGCCCTGGGGGCAATAGCATCCCAAATATGGAGAAAAAGCAAATAAAAGAGAGCTCAAAAACCAACGACATCCACAGCATTGACCATCAATCACCAGATGAAACAAAAGAACTATACTCGGCTAAAAACCTTATTGGTAACACACAAACAAGAAAAAAGGAAGGAGATTTTCTCAGCAGTTACCAATAACTGCTTGATTTAAAGAATTTAAAAGGAATAAAGAAACGGAATAAAGACTAATTGGTTAGTCGATTAATAATCGCTAGGTCAAAGACAAATGCATAAGCCTCATCTACTTCACTAGTTCACTTTTCTGGTGCTATCCGATACTAGTATTTCTGGTTCCATACTTCTTTTTTAACCATGTTATTCCCTTTCCTAAAACAAGTACCAGAGAGAAAGGGAGGACAGGAGGAAGGAGACTACATACATTATGATAAACATGCCCCTGCCCCAAGACCCTATCTGCAGCTAGTGCTGCACACTACTGCCTTTAGCTTGAAATATATATACCTATATTAAGCTCAGGGGAGTAATGGGTGTGAGGTATAAGGTATTCCACTTAAAACCCTGCTTCCTTTAGCAAAATGAGGACAGAAAAATTATTTTTCATCCCAATTATAACTGGTAAATCAACTTCAAGTCATCCAAATAAACTACAAAAGAAAATACCATAAAGCTACTATACAAGTTTTTTCTATTTCATTATGATAAAGCTAGTAAGCTACTTGTCAAAAAATAATGTAGTTATGACAAAACCTATTCTGCAGACATTTACACATTAATAGGAAATATAAAAAACCCGTACAACAACAAAAAACCCAGTATAATCCCACAAGTGGGGTCTAGGGAGGGTAGTGTATAAGCAGACCTTACCCCTACCTTGAGAAGGTAGAGAGGCTTTTTGCGGTAGACCCTCGGCTCAAGAAAGATAAAATAAAAGGAGTAACAACAAGTAATGACACCAACAACCAATAAGAAAACCGAAGCGAAAGAGACAACAAGTAATAATAGAAATCTAAAGCGCAACCCGGTGCACTAAGCTCCCGCTATGCGCGGGGTCCGGGGAAGGGCCGGACCACAAGGGTCTCTCGTACGCAACCTTACCCTGCATTTCTGCAAGAGGTTGTTTCCACAGCTTGAACCCGTGACCTCCTGGTCACATGGCAGCAACTTCACCAGTTGCGCCAAGGCTCCCTTCAAATAATAATAGAAATCTAAGAACAAAAAAATACTAGACTAACACTAAGTAGTAAACTAATACTTCTGGTATGAACAAGGAAAATGCAATGCTACCGAACCTTCTGCCCTAATTCTCGACCTCCATACCTTCCAATCAAAGGTCATGTCCTCGGTAAGCTGGAGCATCGCCATGTCATGCTTAATCACCTCTCCCCAGTACTTCTCCGGCTTACCTCTACCTCTTCTTAGGCTCTACAAGGCCAACCTCTCACACCTCCTCACTGGGGCATCGGTGCCTCTCATCTTCACATGCTTGAATCATGTAAGTCTCGCGTCTCTCATCTTGTCCTCCACATGGGCCACACCCACCTTTTCCTGAATATCTTCATTCTTAATTTTATCTATCTTGTATATTCATCTCAACATCCTCATTTCTTCTACCTTCACCTTCTGGACATGTGAGTTCTTGATCGGCCAACACTCAACCCCATACAACATAGTCGGTCTGACAACCGCTCTATAGAACTTACCTTTAAGTTTTGGTGGCACATTCTTGTCACGCAAAACACCTAAAGGTTGTTGGTGGCACAACCTTTCCTTTAAATATAAAAAACTACTAGGGGCTGAGTGAAATTATTTTGTATAATATTGGCCTGAGATAAGTTGATATGAAGTAACATGATCAGCGAGAATTGGCCCCAACTTGTTTGATATTGAGGCATAGTTGTTTTATGGTAAAACCTATTTTGTAGAGATTTATATGTCAACAAGATAACGAACTTCTAGTAGTACTTTTTATATTTATTTTGTATAATAATGGGCTGATATGAGTTTATATGGAGTGACATGGTGAATAAGGATTCACATAACAAACCCCAACTTGTATGAGATTGAGGCATAATTGTTGCACGATAAATTTATTTGCAGATACTTATACGTCAATAGGCAATATAAACTTCTTGTACCTTTTATTTTTATTTTGTACGATATTGGCAATGAGTTTATATGAGTAACATATTCTGTAAGGATTCATAGAACCAACCCCAACTTGTTTGGGACTGGCATAGTTATTGTTGTTGTAGTATGATAACATCTATTCTGCACATTTCTATAGACCACAAAAAACAGGCATTCACAACAAGAATCAAATATGCGAGAGAAAAAAATGCATCTCTCTTACATACCAGGTGATTAACAATATGTGAGCCCGAAGTATTCCCCCTTGAATTACAAAACCACTTACGGCAAGACGGCACATTGCACCTAACTACACAAGCAGGATTCGTCACTCCACAGTACTTACAAGCATGCTCAACACCAAAATCCCCCTTTCCATACTCAAAACCCTCATCATCCACCGTCTCCTCAAAATTCAACCCGCTCATCCCCGCCGCCAATGCATCCACCACCACCGATGCCGCCTGATTATTACTACTACTACCAATAACATTTCCGTTCCCGCCTCCACCAGAGACATTTCCGCCGCTTCCACCGCGGGTTTTTTTGGACGGAGAGGCGTCAGAAGACGGAGGCCGATCGGGTGCTTCGGAAACCAGAGAATCCGACGGCGTAGGCCACGCTGACGATCGAATTGGCTGTGAAAGCTCTTGAAATTCAGGATAATCGAACTCTTCGCCTTGCGTGTTGAATTCGAGGAATGTGTATGCATCGTTCCCGGTGTCCGGCTGCGACGCCGTATCGTAGAGATTGTTCGGCTGAGTATTCATCGTATAATCAAAAAATCGATGATATGAATTTAATGTAGGCTGAAGTTTTCGATTTCGAAGTGAGATTTTTAGTGTGTTCAGAATTAGGGTTTGGAAAGGGGAAAGTTAGGGTTCGGTGAAAAGGGCGAAGAAGAGAGAGAGGGGGGAGAGAAAGATATGATGAATATTCTGTTTTGGAATAATACTTAAATGTACTAAAACACGTCATATTTAATTATTTTTTATTAAATCCTGGTTAATTAAATTATGGCTTGTGTATCTAAAAATAAAAATTGATCTATAAATATGGTATCTTGCCATTGTTAAAAATAACAAATTGCAAATATTAAAGTAAAACACTTGAAAATCTTATCGGAACAGTTCATATTAAAAGGAGATAAAACAAGCCCCTTACTTAATTTGTGATAATTAATGTTGATTTTAAGATTAAGTTAATTGAATTTGGTGTAACATTCATCTTGCCATTTATATTTACTTACATTAGAAACTAATTACACCATATTTAAAGTTGATCTTATTCTCACTTGGGCCCATTAAAAAACAAACGAATAATCCATTTATTAGGTTAGTGCTAAAGTTACTATTAACATTTTATTTTATACCTTATAAGTTTGTATGTCAATTTTTAAATTTTTGGAAGTCACAAGAGAGACGTGAAGTAACTGTTGATAATAACAGTGATTTCAAGTGATTAACTTTCGATTATCAACAAAGTTCCAAACGTGTATTATTGTTCTTTCACTGTGTATACAAACAATTATGGCGACTAGGCGTTATTTCTTCATCATCCAAGAGAGCGTATAATTGATGAGAGTGAAAATTAATCTTATGCTTAAACAATATGTATTCTTTTATTTTCAATCCTAATTGCACTTCTATTTAGATTCTTAATAGTTCATGTCATAAAAAATATAATTACGCAAGGGAGTATACATATAACTTCAATAGAATGACTAGCATTTAGACGAATGTCATAGGTTGTGTGATAATAGAATGTAACTTTTTTTTTTGTTTCCCACCCAGAGTCTGATACTCACATTGGAGCCCGACTATATCCGAATTTGAGCCGTGTAGGGCCCCATTCGAGGGGAAGCGCTCTCTACTAAATATTTTTCCATACTCAAGGCTCGAACCCGATAATGTAACTAATCAAGCTTTAAATAAGCTTGCCAAGTTACAAATATGTTGAATCCTTTAGATATATATATATATATACATTGTAACAACCCGACTTGTTATTTTAAGAATCTATGCCCCATTCAACTACACGAGGTCTCGACCAGCTTTGTAATATGTAATATGACCCGCGTGTATTGTCCGGTTTAGTTTTCGAAAGATTCGGAATTTAATTTAAAGAACAATTCTCATTTTTGAAGCTTATATGGAAAGAGTTGACCGGAGAGTTGACTTTTGAGCAAACGACCCCGGAATAAAATTTTGATGATTCCAATAGCTATGTATGTTGATTTTGGACTTAGGAGCGTGTCCGAAAAAAATTTTGAAAGCCCGTAGTGAAATTTTGCTTGAAATGGCGAAAGTTGAATTTTTGGGAAGTTTGACCGGAGAGTTGACTTTTGAGCAAACGACCCCGGAATAAAATTTTGATGATTCCAATAGCTATGTATGTTGATTTTGGACTTAGGAGCGTGTCCGAAAAAAATTTTGAAAGCCCGTAGTGAAATTTTGCTTGAAATGGCGAAAGTTGAATTTTTGGGAAGTTTGACCGGAGAGTTGACTTTTTGATATCGAAGTCGGAATTCAGTTCTGAAAATTTTTATAGATCTGTTATGTCATTTATGACTTGCGTGCAAAATTTGAGGTCAATCGGAATTGATTTGATACGTTTCGATGCAAAATATAGAAGTTGGAAGATTTGAAAACTCATAATTCGATTCGATGCGCGATTCATAATTTCGGCATTGTTTAGCATGGTTTGAAGCCTCAACTAAGTTCGTATTATATTTTGAGACATGTTGGTATATTTGGTTAAGGTCCCGAGGGTCTCGCGTGGATTTCGGAAGGTTAACGGAATGGATTTCGAACAAAAGGAGCTGCTGGATTTTTTCTGCTGCAGAAACTTTTTTGGACAGCAACTGGTGCAATCGCATAGCTGACTTTGGAAGCTTATATCTCGAAATCTATAAGGAATTTGAAATTATCAAAATATTAAAGTTGTAGCCCTTTGATTCTAGTTTTCAGAAAGTTAAACCATTCATCATTTGTACATTTGTACAGAAAGTTATGGTCGACTGAATGAGGCTGGTAAAGCAGTTTCGCCAGAAATTTCTGATGTATGGAGCCGACTTTGAAAGCTTATATCTCGAAATTCATAAGGAATCTGAATATTATCAAAACATAACATTTGTATCTCTTTGATTCTAGTTTCTAGAATGATAAACCATTTATCATTCGGACATTTGTACAAAAAGTTATGATCGATTAACTGAAGCTAGTACTGTAGATTTTGGCTACAACAGTGTGCATCGCCAAAAATTTCGGTTGCACGTGGCTGACTTTGGGAGCTTATATCTCGCAATTTATAAGGAGTTGGGCGATGAACAAAACATGAAAGTTGTAGCCCTTTGTATCTAGTTTGTAGAACTTTAAACCGTTTAGCAGTTGGAGTTGAGTATAAGAAGTTATGGTTGATATACTACACGCTGTCGAGGAAGAGTTTGATGTAATGATCCCAAGGTCCATTTTTAGTTCTAGAGATTGAAAGTCGATTTTGAAACTTTCGAGATTTTGATAATGAATTATAGGAGTGATCTGAAAGGTTTGGTCTAATTTCATCAAGTGGCGATTGAGTTTTTAGAGTGAAACATAAGTTAATTATTTAACAAGCGAAATTGGTATCGCATTGAGCAAATGAGCTCCGAAATGAGTTTTGATTGAACGAGTAGGTTTGTATTTTTATTTGTGACTCATAGGAACAAGAATCGTCGAATTCTGAGTTCGTATGATGGGGTTAGAGCCTTTTTAGTGAAACAAAAATGTTGGTGTAAACAGTCCTGGTGCGCACCTTTAGCGACCAGATTTGACACTTTTAGTGACGAGATTGAACTTTTAGCGACCAGAATAGTGTTTTTTGGGCAAAAACTTAAGGACCAAAAATGATCATTTCCTTCATTTCGTTTTGGATTTTTGGAGCATAGTTCTTAGGTAATTTTGAGGATTTCTTCAAGACTTCAACTTGGGTAAGTGCCTTATATCCAAAAGTGATTATATTTCATAAATCCATGGTCATATTCATCATTTATTTCGGATTTAAATGGAAAAAATCAAGATTTTTGCAAAATTTTTCAAGAACGAAAATTTTAGATTTGGTGGTCGAGTTGTTATCGAAATTTGATAAAATTGGTATGGGTGGACTCGTAATTGAATGGGTTATCGGATTTTGTGAGTTTCGTCGGATTCCGAGACGTGTGTCCCACGGGCGATTTTTGAGTTAAATTTCAGATTTTGTTAGAAAATTAATATTTTCATATGGAATTAACTCCTATAATTAGTATTCACTGAATTGAATTAATTTGGTTAGATTTGAGCTGTTCAGAGGTCAATTCAAGCAAGAAGGCGATTTTAGAATATCGACTTAACTTCAAAAAGGTAAGTATCTTGCCTAACCTTGAGTGGGGGAATTACCCCTTAGGCATTGAGTCTTATGTGAAAATTGTGTAATTGAAACCATATACGCGAGGTGACGAGTACGTACTTGGTTTATATGTGCATATTATATCGGTTGAAATTCGTAGACGCCCTTAAGTATTAAATTAAAAAATTATTGTAACTTATTAAATCCCTTATTTGTCATGCCTCATTCCTTGTTTGCCGAGGTTGTTTTTATATGATAATTTGGTGTGATTGCCACTTGACTTTTATGTGAACTCTGTGTTTGTTTGAGTTAACATTTTTTATGGAAAACACTTCCATTATTGATTTTACCTGGAGATAATTTAAATGGAAAATTTTAGTTAATAAGATGAATAAATCTATTTATTTCTTGAAGTTGTGATTTAAAAGAGGTGTTGTTCCTTGATGAATTACTTTTCAGTTCACGTTGTTGAAAATTTGGAATTGAATTATAAAGGTCGTGAATAATATTGAGGCAAAGTACCAAATTGTGAAATATTATTCGGTTGAGTTGTTCACTCTCGAATATTTTGTTAAGATGTTGTACACATTATGATCGAGTCGTGGGCTCCTTATTGTGGAAAAATAATGAATTGTTGATTTCTGTGGAAAGTTGTAATATTTTGTGATATGTTTTAATATTTAAGCACTTGATGTACCATTTGTGATATGTTGTAATATTTGAGCACTTGATGTGCAATTTGTGATATGTGAGCACTTGAGGTGCAAGTTGTATTATGTTGTGATATTTGGGCACTTGAGGTGCGATTTGTGAAATATTGTGATATTGATACGCATGCGGTGATATAAGGTCAGGGTGTTGAAACGCATGCGGTGAGATAAGGGTGGCTTGAAACGCGCGGCTAGTAGGGGAACTACTAGAAGTCATGCGGTGTGATATGGGTGGCTAAAACGCGGGATACTATTTCGGAAAAAGTAATTTCTTTTAAAAAAATGAGATGTGAAGGCTCCCGCGGTGATATAAGAAAATGAGATATTGTGAATTTATTCATGATTTGGGACTACGATGCGGTACCTCGGGAGTGTCCTATTGATATTTCTTTATTTATGTTCTTGTCTTGGGTGATTTTGTTTCATTTAATATGTAAATTCTTGTCTTCTTCCGTGATGTACTAGTTGACTTTATTATTATATATTTTGTGCTCCTGGTTGTATTGTGTTGGCTTTGATTTTTTAGCACGAGACTCTGAAGAAGTATATTTCTGGTTTTTCTTACTGATTTTTAATGATTTAGTTGATTTAAATAAAAAAAATTATTATTATATTTTAAATTAAATAGTTTTACATCCAAGTCAGTAGTTTATCTGATGCTTTAATTTAAGTGCAGTGTTATTTTCTTCACCCAAATAATTTCTAAAATAAATTCATTTCTTTGTTGATTTCTTACTTGATTTAAAAATTATAAACTTACTTTAGTGAAAATAAATTGATCATATGGATCTTATATACATTGATATTATTGGCACGTGAGTTGTCTGTGCAGTTGTGATAGAAATATAGGTACGAGGTGCC